TGTGTGTGTGTGTGTGTGTGTGTGTGTGTGTGTGTGTGTGTGGTGTAAGTGGCTCCCACACCCTTAAGCAGGTCTACATATGAACACATGCTGCTTCATCTAAGTTCAATATTCAACTCAGCTCAAAAGCGAGTTTACCCACCAAACAAACGGCGTCTCCCTAACTCTTCGTCACCTCCTCACTTGCTTTCTGTATGAGTACAGGTGTTTCTTCGAACCTTTTGTCCCAGACTGGGTTTCTCTGTGCAGCCCTTGCTGTTCTGGAACGTGGTCTGCAGACCAGACTCACAGAGATCTGCCTGCCTCTGCCTCCCGAGTGCTGGGACTGAAGGTATATGCCACCACTGTGCCCACCTTTTCACACTCTTCCACGAGAACATTTAACTTCATAACAGGAGTATCCTTGTTGACTTTAGTTTTGCTCTTTATTCATTCCCAGAATGTGGTAGGTCCTGCTTTGACAACTCTTCACTGCTAACTTGACTGCTTTCTCTGTAATCAAGGCAAGGGTTACTCTTATGCTCTGGCTTTTAAGAAGCTGTCTATATCATCCTCGAGACAACAGAAAACATGAACAATTACACCATCTATGCATTGGGGGTATACAGAAGAAAACTCTGACCCAAGCTTGGACCCCAGGTTACCCAGAGAAAGGAACTGCAGTGGTAGTCAAGTTGCCCAGAAGGCAACTACCTGAACTCTTCACCACTCCAGAGACCATTCTCTCTTCAGCTTTCTCCTAGTACAGTCAGTCAGTCTCTTGACAGATCCCTACCACATCTCCTCAAGGTAGTTATATCTAGAAAGGTGGTTCTTCTGGACTCCCACCATTCCCAATACCAACAGACACACAGTGGTCTGAGGTCCTGTGAGGTCACCAACTCCCCAGAAGCTACAGCCTAGCCCCTCACCATAGAGACACCAAATCACTAGAGAGACTTCTGTGACATTCCATGAGGCCATTGTGCAGGGAACATTTGACCCCAATCTGAGGAAAAGGATAGAGGCCAGGGAGTCTTCTGTGGGTTTTACCTTGCTGGGCCTGACAGAAGGTGTGTAGGGTGCCTGAAAGAGAGTCGGTGGTAGCTGAATGGGATGTAGGAGGAGGGGCAAGGCCCTGCTCATCAGGAGTGAGAGGGGAAATGGAACCCCAAACACAGTGCAACTGCATTGCACAAGACAGAAGTCCCAGGTCTGAGGGCAATTCCAGTCCACCTACTAGGACTAATTTGGTAGCTGAGACTAAGAAATTATGTAATGTCAACCCTAGCTATGCAAAGTCCCATCCTGTGTACCCCAAAGTAAAGACACCTCTTGAAAATTGTGTTCTCCGAAGGCAGACATGTGGCACTAGTTCTTTGGCAAAGACCTTTGGTGAGCACCAGACTCACCTCAATAAATGCCTGAGTTCTGAAACCAGGTAGGTACTGAGGGGGGGATTGATGTGAACAGAAGATTTCCTAAGCTTGGTAACAATGATGAAAGAAGAGGGCCTGGGAGATACTTCAGTGGCTCAGGGGCCTGCCATGTGGCACAAAGAAGACCTGAATTCAGATCACCAGTACCCAATTACAGAGCTGGGCAAGGCAGCACATGCTTATAACCCCTAAGGTTTGGGATGGGCCATAGAAATAGGCAGATCCCAGATATTTATTGGCCAGCCGACCAGACTAATCATTGAGCATCATGTGTAGTGAGAGACCCTGCCTTAATTAGGATTTCTACTGCTCTGACAAAACATAACCCAAAGCAACTGGGAAAGGACTTATTTCATCTTTTCTATATCACAGTTCATCATCTAAAGAAGTCAGGGCAGGAGCTCAAGACCGGAACCTGAAGGCAGGAACTGAAGCGGAAGCCTCGAGCATACATTACTTGCTTGCTTGGACTGCTTTCTTATTCAGTTAAGGACCATCAGCCTAGGGGTGTCACCTTACCCTCGTGGGCTGGGCCCACCCACATCAATCTTTAATTTAAAAAAAGAGAGAAAGACTTCTACAGATAATCTGATGAGTCATTTTTTTCAATGTAGTTCCCCCTCCCAAATAACTCCTGAATGTACCAACTTGCCAAACATCTAACTAGCGCTGACCCTATCTGGCACAAGATGGAAACCCAAAGGTTTAGTTTCTGGTTACTGCTTTCTCAGTTGTGCCTAAAGAACTGATGAAGGGATATTTCCTTGCTCTTCCTCCAGGTTTGCCCAGAGTTCAAAAGGTTCTCCTCAGCCATCAGCGTATTTTACTATTATAAATGAACTTTTCAAGTCAGAGAGGCTAACGAAATTAGAGAACGAGGTAAAAAACAGGACATTCGAGGCACTGGAGAGCCTGAACAGAAAAATAGAAGCGGCTAGGCTCCAGCAGGAGCGCCTGCTGCAAGACAGCAGGCTGCTGCAACGGGAGAGTCTCTATGTGGAAGCTGAGAAGAAGTGCTTCTTGAGCGTCCTAAGGAAACAAAGTGAACAGTGTGAAAAGAAACACGAGCAACTGTGGAATCGATATGTTCAGGAATGTGGGGAGATTATTGGAAGGAAACAAGAACTGACACTCAAGTTCGCCCAGCAAACCAAGGAGCTTCAGACACAGCTCCTGCAGGGAAGAGTCAAGCAGTCCCAGCTGAGGCAGCAATTTCAGTCAATGGAGCATATTTCCTCCATAAAGAAGAACCAGGAGATGAAAATTCAGACGTTAGAGAAGGAGCTGGAGGAGATGAAAGCCGAGATGGTTCGGAAGGACCACCAGGCACACTTGCAGTTCCTGCAGCAAAAGACACACCTCATGAGACAGATACAGAAACTACAATTGCTGCAGGCCAGAGACCTTGACACCACAGAGGTTAGGCAGAAGGCCCAGCTCTTTGAGTCCACAGCTAAGAAAGTGAATTCGGAAGTTTGCGTTAGTGTCTGCAGAGAGTACCAGGAGTTACAGGAGGACCTATTGAAGCTCATCCAGGAGTACCTCAAGCTACAGTCGATAAAGAGGAAGCTACTTATGCGGAAAGAGTGGCTGAAGGAGGAACAGTGTTATCGAGACGCCTTAGTGAGGGGGAGAAGACAGCTTAAGGCAAAGAGAGAGAGAAGTCATACTTGTGACCCTTGCCCCCCAAACCAGGGTGTCCTGAGGCCACATTGAACCATCCTTCCTGTACCAAATCAAGAATAAATCCAATGTAGTTTATTTATTAGCCAGAAAAATAAGACTGGGAACTACTAGGCCCTGACAATGTGTTAGTCTACTAGAGAGGCTGTTGGATGGCCAGAGACACTGGGCCAGCTTGGGAAAATCACTGAAATTTTTCCTGATTCTTACATGTTCCTGTGGAGAGACACTGGACAACATGGGGTCATTTTTATAAACCAGTATTCAATAAACACCAGTGCAATAAAGCACTCTTCCCACTCAGTCTGCTGTAATACTAAAAACAGAGGTACCTTCTTATTCATGGAGGAAATGAAACTGGGTGATGTTCAAAAAAGCAAGTTTAATAACAGGAAGCTAGACTTGAATATTAAAGCCTATTGAGAAAACTGAGGATGGAACCATACCCGGAAGAGACAAATACCAAGAATGGAGGCCTTAAAATCAGAGGAAGGTGAGTCATTAAAAACAAACAAACTGCATATAACAAAAATGTAGCCAGCACGAAGGCTCGGATGATAGAGATGCTTGCAGGCAAGCCCAGTGAACTGAGTGTGATCTCCTAAACCCAACATAGAAGAAAGAACAGACTCCTCCAAGTGGTCCTCTCACCTCCACACGAGCACCAGGTCCACATGTCTACATGCATGCATACTCACTAAATATGAAATTGCATTTTAAAGAAGTATGCTGATGCCGGGCGGTAGTGGCGCACGCCTTTAATCCCAGCACTTGGGCGGCAAAGGCAGGCAGATTTCTGAGTTCGAGGCCAGCCTGGTCTACCGAGTGAGTTCCAGGACAGCCAGGGATACACAGAGAAACCCTGACTTGAAAAACCAAAAAAAAAAAAAAAAAAAAGTATGCTGATGAGTGATCAAGGATTTGGGAGGAGGAGAGGAAGGTGAAGCTATTTAGAGACACTGAGAGGCAAAAGCCAAGGAGACCATGAAAATGCTGTTGGTTTCCACATCTGAACACACAGTGGGACCAGTTTGTTCCAGAATAGAAGAAATGTCTAGGGCTGAGAGAGAGAGAGAGTTAAGAGGAAGTTCTCAGTGAGGAAAATATCTAAAGTACTGTCTTTAAGAAGGGAGTGGGAGAGGTATATTATTCTTTCTTTTGCTCTCTCTCTCTGAGACAGGGTCTCACTTGATAGCTGAGGCTGTCCTGGAATTCATTATGTAGCCATTGTGTGGCCTTGAACTCACGGCAGGCAAATTCACCCGTCAGCCTTTTGAACGCTACAGTTACAGGCATAAGCCACTGCACCCAGCTGCTATGAACTTTAAGTTAGATTCTGAAGTGTAAGAAGCTACAGCTCCTTGTCCTTGCTCAGAAATAAAATGTGCACTGGGCACAGCATGGTATCTGCAACCTGAGAGGCTGAAGCAGGAGGACAGCAAGCTCAAGAGTGAGTTCAAGTCCACTTTGGCAACATTATAAGGCATCTCAAAAAAAGAAATAAAGGATACAATGTAGTGGCAGAGTGTTTGTGTAGCAAGGGGAAAGCCCCTAGGAACAGTCCTCAGTGCTAAAAGAAAAACGTGAAAATTCAGTCGCAATTCCTCTGGATGGTAAGTTTGGTGCTTCTTATTCCTGTCCACAAATATATGTAGACACACACACAAGAACACACACATTATATAACCAACACACTTGATGTCCTCCATAAATTGCTTTCCCCAGATACCCAGTATAGTTTAGGTTTATTCATAATTATTAGGAGAAACCCTTATTAAATTTATAGCTCATATAACCCAGTGTGTGAATACATTACTTTTTATTCTTTACTCTGGACAGACAAGGTTGTATACCATGTGTTCTAAAGCTGGTTTTAAGAAACAAGAGTGTGCAATATGGCAACAGACACATTTCTTGCTTCATTAATTGTAGCTGTCCAGCGTCCAAGGACGAACTGGGTTACCTGAAAGGAGCGGGATTGGGAATGAAAAGGGGGCAGGGGTCGAGAGAAGAACAAAGCCAAGACAAGGTTCTGATCAAGGCTCCAAATTTAATACTCAGCACTGCGTTTCTATAGGGAAAGCCCACAGAATCATCCTTTGTTTCAGCTGGATTATGTTGCAAAGCAAGGTCATCGGGACAGTCTATTCTAAGTTCCTGTGGGAACTTACACATACAACCAAGGCAGATGACTCCACCAAGGTTGATAAGGTCCACTGTGGCAGGCGCTCAAGGTCTGCTCAGCCTGCTCAAGGCTGGGAAGGCCACAATTAATGGTTTTAGATAGGTGCTCCTGGTTACCAGGTGGGTCTCCTTCACAAGACCATACAGGGAAGCAACAGTCTGCCATCTGTGGGCAGTCTTCTACTATAGGACCCTATACGGTCATCTGATGTAGCCAAGAATGGGGGTTTGCAGGGAGAAAATGCAGTACACAGTTTCAAGGCTAGAAGCAACATGTTACCTTTACTAACTTTCTATAGGGAAGAGTGCTGCTGGCCACCCATTTGCTGCTTCGAGAAAAGCGACAGGTGGCGAGTGGGATGCACCCATTTGTCATACGTGTCTATAATTTAGGAAGATCGGAAAGATTTTGGAGGGAAGTGGTCTTCTCTGATGAATGTTCCCAGCATGCACTCTAACTTCTGCCACTCTTGCATATCTCCCTTGGCACATCAAAGCGAGGGGTATTTCTCCACATATATATATCCACACAACCCAGCCTTGTGGTACAGATTCAACTTCAGCAATTACTTACGAATCATTTTTAAATGACTGATTAAATCTGAATATGCTAGGAGAAAGACCAAATCCAAGACTGTCTGGTTAAAAGAAGCTTTATTTAGAGATGTACCCAGGCAGGACTGGTTACACAGCTGACTCATGTTATGCAGGGAATATTTAGAGAGCAGCCTTTTTATTATTATTATTATTATTATTATTATTATTATTGAGATCCCTTTTATGGGGAAAAGTTAAGGCTAATAGAAAATAGCTGTAATGTGTACCAGAGATAATTGGCTGTTAGAAAAAAAATACAACGAAAGGAAGAATAAAAGAATATATATTCTGTGAAAGGGGAATTAACATTATGGGGTAAGTGATTACAGTATAGATTGACATTTCTTGAAACATTTTGTAAGGCAAAGGGGAGTCACATACATCATGGGGTCATGAGTTCAGTGCAGGTTGAAAATCATGTTTTGCAGGGTACATTAGGTTTAGGAGACAGAAATTTATCCTTGTAAGGTATGGAGACTTAACAAAGTGGCTCCTGTTCTGGCTTCACCCTGTATCAATTTACATTTCAAAGCTGTCCTCCTTTGCTTTCTGTTGTGATAAACACCACTGCCAGAAGCAAGTAGGGAGGAAAGGGTTTATTTCACCTTCTACTTCCATCTTTGATGGACGCTGTTCTATGGCTATGATGAGACACCATGACCAAGGCAGCTCTTATAAAAGAAAGCCTTTAACTGGGGGTTTGTGTACAGTTTAGTCCACTAGCATCATGGCAGCTTGCATAGCACTGAAGTAGTAGCTGAGGGCTACCACATCCTGATTCTGAGGTGGGGGGGGCTGGGTCTGCTTTGGGCTTTTGAAAACCTCAACCCCCTGTGACACACTCCCTCCACCAAAGTCACACCTCTTAATCCTTCTAATCCTATCAAAGAGTTCCATTGCCTAGTGACTGAAGATTCAAACATATGAGTCTTTAGGGTGTGAAGGGAGGGAGGGCAGGTGGGGGAGTGTTCTTATTCAAACGCCCACAGAAGTCAAGGCAGGAACCTGGAGCAGAAATCACAGAGGAATGCTGTTTGCTAGCTCCCTATGCACCCTCCTACATGGGTTAAAATTCAAGACAGTCTCCCACAGACATTGTCACAAACTAATCCGGGTAATCTCTCCATTGAGACTCCGTCCCCACAGCTGACTCTTCCTTGTATCAAGTTGATACTAAAAGCTAACCAAGACAGAACCATATTTGAGAGGTCATATTTATATCAATAACCTATATGCATCTAACATAGCCTCCTGGTTGTAAGTGTCCTACTGAATTTTTAGAAGACTAAACAGTGTGGTCAAGATACTCTATATCGTGTCCTCAGATCATTTTCCTTGGGGAAGAAAAGAGAAAGGAGCCCTGAAAAAAGAGGAGCCGGGGTATGGTGGTGTTAGATGTTAAAGATCCAAACCCACGGGACAAGCTCTCCCAGGGATACTCACGGACAGGACTCGCTGCAATTCACATGAGGTGTATTTATTTTTTTATTTTTTTAATCTGATTTATTTTCTTAATTAAAAAGAAGTATATTTGTGTTAAATTTAGAATATTTAGCTTTCCATTGATCTTTCCAACACTTGCCAGATAGATACTAACAGTGCTCAGAACTGTGAAGGTTAATACCCAATACCAAATTTTCTAAGAAGTCCCTCAAGGCATTGGTGACTTTAATTTAAAAATAAAAGAATTTAAATTAGCATTGGAAATCTAAGTGATGATGGGTTTCAAGAGCTAAAAATCAGATCTTTTAAAAAAACAGATTTTTTTTTTTATTTTTGAAGGACTCAAACCTGACACCTCCAATAGGATACAGTATGTCCCAACTCCTAAATTATTAAATTCATTATCTCACCTTAGAATAGGAAAACTATAAAATGGAATTTCTAAATTATTACATATATAAATACATCATTTTAACAGTCATGTTTGCTAGCAGAATTATGAAATAAAAACAAATTCTACATTCAAGGTACAAAGAATAATGCTCTTTCACTGTTTTATTCAAGATTCCATCCTATTCTTTCTTGTTTTCCACCCCTTTATTTAAAGCCATGGTCAAAGCTAAGAGTCGATGTTTTTCTGCACTCAATATTCCTTGGTTCCAGTCCCTATATACAGCAGGTGTCCTGTACTGGGCCCAGGACTCCTGAGACTGGAGAATTTGACAACATGATTTAGGAACACTTAGGAATTCCAACGTGACTCTGTGTCACGCACCAACACTGACCAGCCGGCACCGGCGGGCTGTTGTGTGTACTGAGCATGTCCAGCATGCACACAGCACATGAGGTTTAT